GCTCAAAATCCCATGCCTGTACCAAAACACACGGCGCGGAATCAAGCTGAAATCAAAAAAGAAAATAAATTAGATCTTGGTACAACAAATGACCAGGTTAAACTTCAAGCACCACTTACTACCAGTGGAGTGCGAACGCACCAATGACCTTGAAACACTGACTGAGCAAGTAAATGAATTCCTGCAAATAATGTTGTCATCCTCAATAAAATATGCTCATCGAGGTGTTATCATTATTAAATGCGATATCTGGTAAGTTTCAGGGCAACAGTAAAGAATATACACCAACTTCAAACGACCGTGAAACGGTCGATCGACTTCTTCTAGGTGAAAAATGGTACTTGATTTACAAAGAAGTGTGTCTTCGATATATGTAATGAAAATAAATCATATAGGGTATATATCTCTAATATGCTGCAAAAACTGGTCCCAAATTCTCATAGAAGTGGTTATAGACATATCAAACCAATGTCCCAAGCTTGTTATAATTCTGAATTAAATCTCAGTAATTCTGAAATAATTCTAGCATCCTATAGTGAGTAAATTCTGAATTTGTTCTGAAATCGTTTGTTTAATGGCACAGACTAGAACTCAATGCTAGTTTTCAGCATAACTAGCGCTAATTCAGAACCGTGTTCTTCTTTTAAGCATTGTTAGGAGTAGATCAGAACCTACCGGGAATACGTATTCTCTATTTTTCCAGCTGTAGCAGATACTGGTTGCATATACGCAATATATTACTAAGGGGAGGCTTTGATTTCGAGAAGAAAGTGTCTAAAACATCACCAGTTTTGCACGACTTACCAACTTATACAGACTTCTTCATATAAAGTGGTTGGAACTGAATGTATAACCATCAATAGCCCGGTAATACTTTTCCAGAATTAGTATCTCTCCACACATGTATCTTTTATTCCTCCCTATCAACACATTATCTACAAAGAAGTCAAAAACCGAATCTAGGAGATACTTTCAAAGAGGATTATGACTAGGAACCATTTGTAATGCTGAGCTGTCTGATTGGTCAAATCAAGGTCATTTAACTTTGGTGTCTATTCTTTACTCTTGCCAGTTTCAGCTTTGGTTTGGGAAAGATTAAGTTACTCTTCAAGCCAAGGACAAGCTAGTGTTATGTTAACCTACTAAGGGTGATATTTGGGTTGGTTTGAGTTAGATCACAGTTAGGTTAGTGATATTTTCATGTTAGAGTTAGATTCAGGAAAGATTAGGGTTACTGTTAGGGTTAAAAGACCAAAATAATTACATGCATAGAATGTGGTTAAATTTCTCTGTTTATATAAGAATAGAGCTTGTGCACTGTGGTAGGGTATAATTCCATTGTGAGTAAAATTTATTGTGATTAAGTCTCACAGCATGTTATACAGTAATACTTACTGATGAGGTTTAGAGCACAGTTTATTACGTCCTTACGCCATCTTATGCGCAGACGTGATATCCGGCTATCGACCAAAGGATGTGTGTACTGCTCAGAAGCTCACTCCGTCCTCCTTTATGTCTGTGACACATTGGATATGAAAGTGAAAGACATGAAAAGGCTAGCTATCTGTCTTTAATCACAGTTGCTTGTATTCCATTTCCTAATGTTAGGCGGTAATAATAGGGTTAGTTATATTGAAGTTAGGCGTAAAGTTTTAGGTACTTTCGACTCTGTACCTAGGTGTCTCTTGCTAAATAAGCTCTTGATGACACAAATTGAGTCCTGGGTCACAAACTGGTTGCATTCCTACTTCTCAAACAGAATGCATTACACTGTATACAAACGTAAATCCTCCTCTGCCGTTCTCACTGAATCTGGTGTCCCCCAAGGTGTTGTACTCTCCCCACTTCTGTTTTCTTTCATTCTACATGACTTACCATCTTCAAATGACTTTAATTTTGTTAAGTATGCTGACGACCTGACTGTAACTTTGCCTGTCAAATGTCAAAGTGACTGCTCTAAACTAAATGGCTTTTTATCAGAAATTAGCCAGTGAGTGAGTGGTCCAAGGAAAACGGTCTACTGACCTTAAATCCCTCTAAATGCCAAACAGTCAATTTCACCTTTAGGCATAAATCTGACTTAAACAAACTGGTTAGCACTCACGAGGTGTGCAACATAGATGGCAATGAAATAGAAACCAAGTCGGAAATTAAATATCTTGGCGTCATTCTGTCTGGTGATCTTTCCTGGTCGTCTCATATCTTGATGATTTCTGAGAAAATATTCCATCTTATCTTCTACATCAAGAAGTTAAGACATTCTGGAATAACCGAACCCAACCCTTACTCTTACGATTCGTTAACTCTTGCATCCTGCCTATTATTTTCTATTGTTCCCCCTTAGTTTTTCCAGGGTTACTGAAAAAAGACTATAGCGTATTACTCAGGATGTTAAAGGTTGTCAGCAGGGTAAGCCACAGAGTGCCACTTAACCAGCTTGTTAATATTCTGGTTGACAGGCACTTGGACTCAAGTGAAAAATGGGTTAAATCCATTTTATCTAACTCACACCACCCTCTTTATTCACAACTCTCCTCTTGTATCTCATCAGGGAAAGCCAGAAGCCTATATAGAAAACTTATGCTCGTACTAGCAAGTACAAAAACTCAAACTTACCCTACTTAGGTCGTGTTATGTGCGATAAAGAAAGCATTAGGCGTGATATCTATAACTTATTAAATAGTCAGTAGAACAACTGGATCTCGTCTTTCCAACTCATATCATTTATCGGGACAATGTTTTCTTCCTTTCTTTTCCTTTTCTCTCTCACTTTTCTCTGTTATGTTTTGCTTTGTTTCTTTCTTCCTTACGAACTCTATTTAAAATATTCTTTTTCGTTCTTTCACACTCTGTACATCTGGACTTGCTAGCATCTACTTTTCTAACATCTTCAAACACTCTGTTCAATTTTGGCTTTGCTACCGACATGCCAATATGTTGTTGTCGAAACTAACTGAGATTACCCTTAATCTATGTAGAATTTTATTTCTGTCTGTCTGTCTGGATTCAACATAGAACTTGACACCGAAGTGCAGCAGTTCGAGTTGCCACGTTCCAATTGGCACACAAGGTAGACAAGAAGATGAGTGAAGAGAATCAATAGAGTTTGACAAATATAAGAGTGAAACAGAGTGGGTAATTGTAGAAAGGAATATGAAAGATTACAGAGACTGAATGCATCTGCGCCATTGACAACGATTTTGAGCCATGTCACCTATTGTCTCCAGCCATTGATTCCTAGAGTCCCGAGGGCCCCAACCCGGAAGTCTGCATCTCCCTACCTGACTCAGTTTAACTGTCAAGGATTTCATGGATTGATGAGGCCATGTTTTCGTTTGGCCACCACTGGCTCTTTTCCAACCTGAACCTATATCAGCTAGCAAAGCACGTCGGGGGAGGCGGTGGTTAGGCATGCGCAGCACGTGACCTAGCCATCTCAGTCTATGTAACTTTATAGCCTCGTCGATTGATTTTCCCTCTTTGCCCAACACTCTACGCCTAACGTCAAGATTACTTACCTTATAATACCACCACCTAACGTGAGACAGAGACCGCAGACATCTATGATCGAAAGCAGTCAACCTTTTCATGTCTTCAACGCGTATTGGCCATGTTTCAGAGCCATAGAGAAGGACGGAGCGAACTGATGAGCAGTACACACGTCCCTTGGTTGATAACCGGATGTCACGCCTACGCCAGAGATGGTGTAAGTTAATGTACTAACTAAATGCAATACTGTAGTAAAATGCTGAGAATTCCATTCTGTATCACAAGTACTGTTTTGGAATAAAGCAAATAATAATAATTATTATTATTATTGTTATTAAAAATCATTCAATGAGGATTTGAAGCTGCTTGTATTATGTATGTTAAACTATCACCCTCCTCATTGAGCAATTTTAACTGAAAGAAGATTAGTTTAGAAAAGAGTTAGTGGTGGTCAAAGTAAAACCTGCCATCATTCTATGAAGTATTCGATAATTGGTTTGAACTAGCCACACAGGTAGGTGAAAACTGCCTAGTTGGGATGCTAGGGACCATTGTCTGTAGACTGTTGGTTCTATGTTTCAAAGATGTTCACAGTGGTACAAATAGATTCACCCTTTTTGATCTCCGATATCCACTGAGTCGTCTTTCTCTTTTGTCTACCTTTTGCGTGCTACATGGAGTGTGACAGCTTGAAGTGATACCCTTCTTTGCAAAGTTCTGTGTTGAGACTCTCTCAGTGTAATCATACATAGAGTCGATCAGCTTTTTAATCTTTTACCGTGATGATCAACTTAATTGGTTGAGAGAAGGTAATCTCAAGCAGTGTGTTGAAGAACTGGTCTTTCAAAAAATAACACTGAAAAGATATTGTAGTGCTTAATACAATGATCCCTATTCTTTTTTGTTTATTCCTTTACGTTTCTAGTGGAACATAAAGCGGCTTCAAGTTAGAGACTTGAAGTTTCTGTAGCAGTGGTGTGTTTTTTGTACGGGATGGGGTTTCTAGCCACCCTCATGCCTAACCTTTCCTCCTTACCAGTCTTATAACTGGCTTAGCGAGGTAAAGAGGAGTGCGTCAGCCGGGGATCGAACCCTGGACAACATAAGTGGTCGGCGAGCATTCTACCTCTGTGCCACAGACGCAAATCCACACGTGAAAAATCTTTTATTTATAAGCGGTACATTAAATGCATTAGTGAATATTCTAATCACTGGTATATAAAACTGTTATCTTTAGACTACATGTTTCAATTGTTGTGTGTGATGCTGCAACGTCAACTACTTCGATAATGAACCAAAGTAGTATATATATAAATAAAGAATTCTTTCGCTTTCTGAAAATGTTTTTTCTCTACGTTGAAAAAGGCCAAGCCGTTGTGGCTCATGCTGTGACTACAGACAGTACTCAATAAATTTTTCTTTATCTACAAGGAATATGAGATGAGGAGACCAAATGTAGCACAGGCATATAAGTTACTGGTTGTGCTACTAATTAGTTACACTACACCAGCTGTAACAGGCAACCAGAAGGCACACCGTAATGAAAGCAGAACACCAACTGCACAGGAAAGAGTTTATTCAGCGAGAATGGACTTTTTAAAAAGTGCGGGGTACAGTTTTAGGGAATTACAGTTTTACTGAGCTTCATTAATGTTCAGGTTCTGCAATTCCTCGTCCAGGCAGTTGACTCCCTGGTGTCTTCCTGCAAGTAGAGAAAATAAAACATTGATTAGTGTTACAATATTAGTTTTGTTTCTCTTACACTGCCCCCTCCCTCTGAGGGCACTGTCCTCAGTGCCCCAGGAAGGAATTGGGTAGCCTGCACCTCCAACGGCTGGAACTTCATACTGACAGCTGGCGGGTGGTGGTTCATCATGAGAGGCCGGATTATTGGATGGAAAAAGGCGATGCGGCTTGAGTTGGTTGTAGTGAGCAGGAATAATATCGTCATTCGGTTGCTGAATATTTTTTAGGAAGTAAGTGGTGGGTGGACACATCCGCACGATCTCGAAGGGCCCGTGCCATGGGGAATAGAATTTTGCATTTGGCCCAGGAGGACGGTGAAGCCAAACGTGATCACCGACAGCATAAGTTGGACCACGAGCGAAACGGTCATACACATTCTTCTGGTGGTAACTTGACAACTTTTGTTGCGTGCGCGCCAGATCGTAAGCGATTGCTAAACGGTTGCGTAGTTGCCGGACATAAGAGATATGGTCAATCTTTTCAAAGGGTAGGGGAGGAACTTGGACTTCGATGGGAAGGCGTAATTCTTGGCCATACAGAAGTAACGCGGGTGAGAAACCCGTGGAGGAGTGCACGGAAGAACGATAAGCCAGAAGACATTGAGGCAGTGTCTCATCCCAAGCGTCAGTTGATAAGCGATCGAGGAAAGCACGTAAGATATTCTTGAGGGTTCGATTTGTACGTTCCACCAACCCGTTTCCTTCTGGGTGGTAAGCAGTCGTGCGGGTCTTCCGAACGCCAAATACGCTGCAGATGTGATGAACCAGTTGACTTTCAAAAGCGGCACCTTGATCTGAATGCAGTGAATGGGGGGCACCAAAACGAGTAATCCAATTGTCAATGAACGCCTGGGCTACGCTATTTGCATCTTGCCGTTGTAAAGGTACTGCTTCACACCATTTTGTGAAGTAATCAATCATCACTAGGATATAGCGGTTACCTCTCTTGGTAGTTGGGAGTGGCCCCATTATGTCGATCCCGACGCGCTGGTTCGGCGCTTCCGTTAGCATAGGTACGAGTGGTGCTCTAGGCGTGTGCGTAGGCTGTTTGTTACGGTTACAGAAATCACAATTTTTACAAAACTCGATTACATCGCGGTGAAGTAACGGCCACCAGAAACGTTGACGGATTGCGTGTTCAGTTTTGTTTTGACCAGCATGCCCCAGTTGATGGTGTACTTGGCTAATGAGCTCCTGTACTTTGGCGCTTGGAACGAGGAGTCGGGGTTAGAATTCGGTTCCATTATGTAGAGGACATCATCAATTAGACGAAGGAGACCCCACTTACCACAGATGCTCTTCGTAGCTGCTGGCAGGTCTTGTAATTCTTTGGCCGTCGGTTTATTGTTGCCGTGCTGTTGTCGTAAATAGATAGGTTGTATCTCTGTGTCTGCCGCTTGCAGAGAGGCCCAGTCAATGTCAGGTGTAGCACTAAGTAATACATTTACTGTGTTTTCACAGTCTGGCAGGCGTGAGAGGGCGTCGGCGTTACCATGTCGTTTTCCAGGGCGGTATTCACAAGTGAAGTCAAACTCCTGTAAACGTTCCTGCCAGCGGGCGAGTTGACCTTCAGCATCACGAAAGTTCTGCAGCCACTGTAACGCCTTGTGATCAGTTCGGACTCGAAATTTGCGCCCCAGCAAGTAATGACGGAAATAAGTGAGAAAGTATACAAGAGCTAACATTTCACGGCGCGTCGTAGAATACCGTGTCTCTCTCTTGTCCAGCGTCCGACTAGCATATGCTATCACTCGTGCATGTCCGTCAGGGGTTGCCTGTGAAAGGACGGCTCCTATCGCGTGTGCACTAGCATCAGTATCCAGGATAAAAGGACCGCTGTCGGGCGACGTATTCGGGAATGCTAGAACAGGAGGGGAAGTCAAACATGTTTTAAGCGTGTTAAATGCTAACTGGCACTCGTTAGTCCAAGCGAATTTACGTCCCTTTTCAGTTAATCGATGAAGGGGGCTGCTATGTTGGCGAAGTTTTGAACGAAACGACGGTAGTAAGATGCAAGCCCCATGAAACTACGGACATCTGTCGTCGATTTAGGGGTAGGCCAGTTGAGGATTGCTTGTACTTTGCTTCTGTCTGTGCTCACACCTTGTGGGGTGATCTCATGACCAAGGAAGGTAACAGATTTCTGCAGGAAGTTGCATTTTGGTGCTTTCAACTTAAGATTACTTTCGCGTAGGCGTTGGAATACGACTCGAAGGTTGGCATGGTGTTCTTCAAGGGACTGCCCGAACACAATGATGTCATCCAGGTAAATTAGGCATTGTTTCGGGACTAACCCTGCAAGTACTGTTTGCATGAGTCGTTGAAACGTAGCGGGGCATTAGACAAACCAAATGGCATGGTTTCAAATTCGTATAACCCCGTAGGCACAACAAATGCAGTTTTCGGTCGGTCTTCCGGACGAATTTCGACTTGCCAGTAGCCGGAAGCCAGGTCCAATGTAGAAAACCACTGTGCCCCGCCCAAAGCATCTAGAGTAGCGTCTATGCGAGGTAGTGGGAAGGAATCTCGTTGCGTGATTGCGTTTAGACGGCGGTAGTCAACGCAAAGGCGGAGGGAGCCATCTTTTTTCTTCACGAGTACAATAGGGGATGCCCATGGTGACGTGGACGGTTTAATCACTTTCTTCTGTAGCATATCTGCTATCATTGTATCCAACTGTTGCTGGTAATGAATGGGAACCCGTCGAGGGGGCATCCTAATGGGCAGGTTATCCCCGTCTTAATCTCGTGTTGTACAATACTAGTACGCCCCATCATATGTCCGTCGTCAAACACGTCACTATACTTTTGTAACAGGGCCAAAGTGTCAGCACGGTCTTTAAGACTGAGGTGGGGGTTATCATGGACGTTCACTATTGTCATCTGTGGTAAAGCACAAGTATCAGCACACTGATTGTGGTTGGATGATCGGCCAATTGCGAGGTTATGTGCCCCCAGCCGGATTCGAAGGCGACTTAAATCAATGACAGCGTTTTGTGCGGTTAGGAAGTCCACGCCCAGTATGGCGTCCCATCGTATAACATCGCAAATGACGAACGACTGGGCACAAGTAAAACCTTGAAGTGTCACTGAAAGGGTGGCGGTATCCGTTACCGTAATTGGTGCTCCATTGGCAGCAATTAGCTGGAGCTGATTGGGGAGAGGTTTAGGTTTGACTCCGAGTCTCTGAACCAATGCCGTGCGCACAACAGAGGACGATGCCCCAGTGTCAATCAGAAAAGTTACGTCTGTGCCCTGGAGCTTGCCCTCAAGGAAAAGGGGGATTTCGAATATTTACCAGATAAGGACACATTAGAGGAACGCTCACCTTGTGGTTTTCTGTTGTGCCCACATTTCCATGCTCGCCGTCCAAACCGGTGACAGTAATTACACTTACTGGGGTCCTCATGCTGCTTGGGAGTGACTGTGGTTGGCGTTGAAGGTTGATTTGGCGGTGGGGCATTGAACCGCCGTTGGCGTGGTGCTGGTGTGGTGAGAGCAGGCTGCTAGCCGATTGGTTGGCACTAATCTACGTTAAGGTCTAGGTCACTAATATGGGCCGTGAGAAAATATGAACAAGCCTGAGTCAACAACCAATCACAGCAAAGTTAACGTGGCAGAATATGATTCGCAGAGAGAACTCTATTTGTCAAGGAATCCCGAAACAACCAATCAGAAGCCTGCGTTTGTCTACCTAAACAACCAATCAGATGACTGCGCTTGTCTATAATAATGTAGTTGAAAGATGTATAAATACGTGTTGATTTTCATAATAAAACGATCTGTTGCCTGGCCCTTGTCTTCTGTTGTTACATTTGGTGTCGCTGCCTACCGACAAATGAAAAGCCTATACCCTGCAGTTTTTGATGGAGACATATGGATCTTCGGGCAGGACTTCAAGGCTTCTGCGCAGTTGAGTGGCGTTCAAAATCTGTCAGCGATGGAGCTGCTACTTGAGACGCTGCTGAGAGGTCGGGCGAAAGCAGCATATGAAGGTGTGGGCCGAAGTATGGACGAATGTTCGACAGGGTCAGGCAAACAGTTTCCAAAGTGGGAAGGACCATATATGGTCACTTCGAGATGGGGTTACGCAGACACAGTCGCAATGGCGAACAATGAGAGGCGCGTGAACGTCAGCGAGCTCCAGAAATGGATACAGCGAGACAAGCCAACGATGATGCCTGCACCAAGTAGATCAAGCCGACTTCAGTCGCACGTATTTGACGGGGGGACGAGTGTGGTGAGAGCAGGCTGCTAGCCGATTGGTTGGCACTAATCTACGTTAAGGTCTAGGTCACTAATATGGGCCGTGAGAAAATATGAACAAGCCTGAGTCAACAACCAATCACAGCAAAGTTAACGTGGCAGAATATGATTCGCAGAGAGAACTCTATTTGTCAAGGAATCCCGAAACAACCAATCAGAAGCCTGCGTTTGTCTACCTAAACAACCAATCAGATGACTGCGCTTGTCTATAATAATGTAGTTGAAAGATGTATAAATACGTGTTGATTTTCATAATAAAACGATCTGTTGCCTGGCCCTTGTCTTCTGTTGTTACACTGGTACGGTTGTAAGTGCAGCCGAAGATGATGCTGTTGGGATTGGGTAGAGGAAGCTGCTGGTTGGTACTGTAATATCTCTCAGAATGTCCATAAAGCGTAAGATGGTTCGTTGTAATTCCATTGTGTTCGTAGGGGGGTGGCGTAGCAGGTCTGTTCGCAGGTCACCAGGCAAGACCCCGTCGAGAAAACGTGTCCGCAGCATGCGGTCTCTGTATTCTGGATCTGCGTTATTGTCCACACTCGCCACCATTAGTTGTAAGGCATGGAAGTAATCGAGGGGGCTCTCATCAGGCATTTGTCTGCGATTGAAGAACTTTAGAAGGGCGTGTACGTAGCCCAATTGAAGATCAAAACAATTATCCAAAATTTTCCAGTTTTCGTCCATGGACTTTGTGCTGCTGAATCCGGCAGCATCGGCGCGTGCGAATGCATCTTCTGATAGGGCATTGAGGATATGAAGGAAGTGGTGCACTGGTGGAGAAATACTGAGGAATGCTTGAACGCGTTTTTTCCATCTGGGGTAATCAGATGACAATTGCAGCATTGGGGGACGAGGTAGCGTGGGCACCATCGGCGTGGTGATACCACTTTCTTCTGGAAATAGCTTGGGAAGACCGTAATCGAATGAATTTTCCATGTTGAGAGCAGAAGGACCACCTCCGACACCAATTTGTAACAGGCAACCAGCAGGCACACCGTAATGAAAGCAGAACACCAACTGCACAGGAAAGAGTTTGTTTATTCAGCGAGAATAGACTTTTTAAAAAGTGCGGGGTACAGTTTTAGGGAATTACAGTTTTACTGAGCTTCATTAATGTTCAGGTTCTGCAGTTCCTCGTCCAGGCAGTTGACTCCCTGGTGTCTTCCTGCAAGTAGAGAAAATAAAACATTGATTAGTGTTACAATATTAGTTTTGTTTCTCTTTCACAGCCTTAATAAACGTAGTATGACGAATTACGCGGTTAAACAGTACTCTAATTGGCTTGTAAATACTGATAACGAAGCGCAAGTTAAAAAGACGCATTTGGTTTAAGGATTTGCTCTGATAAACAGAATAGAGAGTTTAAGTTATTTAGGGTGGAGATTTTTGATATTATCTGTCTAGCATGGCTGAATTACAGACCCACAGTTTGTGTGTATTAACAGCACAAGGAAAGAGGAGTACAGAATGGCGTCTGAGACTGTTTGGATGCATGCTGGTTAAAACAAAAAACACCTAAAACATCCGCGGTCTGATGTTTTAATTCTAATACCCTAGGCTTTTTTCGGTGCCTTGGAAGGTGTAATACAAACGCTTGTTTAACGGTATGGTACTTAAAGCTCACTATAATGTTTCTTCTTAGAATATTCTCTATAAGATATGCTCAAAAGTGTATAAGAGATATTTCGATTGAAATGAGATATGCTGGAATCGCATGCACAACTACCGTCTTTCTCTACAAAAAAAATGTAAGCTGACATAGGATTAAGTTAGAAAAGTGTTAGGGGTTTTCAAAATAAAACCTGATATAAGTCTCTTAGTTAGGTCTTTGACATTTAGTCTGAACCGTGTAGAGAGAGGTGAAGAATGACTGGTTGGGGCCCTTAGGATCTTCATGGCTTTCCATGTTACTAATGCCTTCTGTCTATCACATTTCTTCTTATTATAGAACTCTTGAATCCTTTGTATGGAGGATTTCACCATGAGGTGACATCAATTAGAGAACCACTGGAAAACCTGGGAGTACTGAACAGCTGTTTTGTCCTAGTTTGGGACTCTTGAATCCTTTCTTTTCTCTCTCTGTCTCTTTCGTTTTGCCTTTTTTGTGCTATATGGAGTATGGTAACTTGAATTGGTTAACTTCTGTGTAAAGTTCCATGTTGAAATTCAGTCAGTCAGATGAGCTATGACTGAGAAATTCCTCTAACCAAACAACTAGTTTTACACAT